GGGGGGATGCAGGAGACAGCCAATCAATGACTCTCTCTCATCACTGATGTTTCTCTCTCTCTTCCTCTTCTATCCTCTCTCTGAAATCAATAAAAAACATATTTTTAAAAAAATCCTAATCTTTTAAATAAATAAAATGAAGTGCAGAGACTAGAAGGTAGAGATCTCACACACTACCACTAGATGTCCATTACACACCTCAACAGGAAGATAGCATACCTAGCATTCCCAATAAGAAATGTCTATTTTACTGCTCCAGGAGGAGGAAGGAAGATTTCTCCTACCCAACAACAAGCCCAGCTAATGGGAGCTGTGGCAGCTCAGCCAATGAGAAGCCATCCCCATCCTGAACTCTGGCTTTCCTCCACTGGACCTTCTTTCAAAGCACTGCCTCCCAACTTCCTCCTTTTCCTTTATAATGTTCCTCCCCTTTGTTTGCTGAACTTCCCTATAGTTTTTGCTATAGCATGCTTGACCTGAATTACAATTCTCTGCTTTTTCTGAATAAACCTATTTTTTGCTGGTAAAAACAACTGGCTGTTTTATTTTGAAGGTCAACATTACCAACAGATAAATTGGACTATATTAAAGTTAAGAGCTTCTGTTCACTGAAAGACCATTAAGAGAATAAAAGGGCAAGCTACAGAGTGGGCAAAGGTATTTACATCAGATTTCTCTAAGAAAGGAATCATATCCAGAATATACAAAGAGCTACAAATAGCAAAAGGACAGACAACCATATAGAAAGATGGGCCAATGACTTGATCAGGCAGGTCACAAGGGAAGGTAACCAATAGACATGAAAAGGTACCTGGACTTTATTAGCTAACAGGAAAATACAAACTAAAGCCACAATGAGATACCACTACATATATACAGGAATAGCTGAAATTAAAAAGACTGACAACATCAATAGTTGCAAAGGAGCCCGGCCGGGCGTGGCTCAGTGGTTGAGTGTCAACCTAGGATCCAGGCGATAGGGGTTCAATTCCCGGTGAGGGCACATGCCCGGGTTGTGGGCTTGATCAATGACTCTTTCATCATTGATGTTTCTGTCTCTCTCTCTCCCTCTCCTTTCCTCTCACTGAAATCAATAA